TGTGTGTGTGTGTGTGTGTGTGTGTGTGTGTGTGTGTGTGTGTGTGTGTGGACTCCAGACTGAGATGAAACCAGAGAAAGATGTCTGAACGTGTCTTGGCCTCCCTTGCTGCCAAAGAATGGGTCTCTTCAAAGCGGCTGGTGTTTGCACATTATATTTTCCGTCTGGAAACTCACTTAGACGTGGCTGCATGACTGTGTGAGTTATGGTTTGATTGGGACGCAGCGCAGGGTGAGGCAGAAGGAAATTTCACCCAGTTTCTCCCGATCTGTCTTCACATGGTTGTCGGGTTTTGTTAGAGGGCTGCAGATCCTGACCAACTTTGATGGACGTTGTGACAAATCCAGTAAGCTCAAAGGATAGTTCAGATAGGGTTATGAGCAACTAATATCTTACCTGCTCTAGATAGCTCTTTGAACAACCCCAGTTTGTAAAAACAGTTTAATTCTGACTAGATTCATGAGCTAAAGGCTTGTCTGAGTGGGACCAAGACAAGTGGACTGCTGCCATCTTCAAACACCTCTGAGCTCAAGGCAGTTCACAAAAACATTTTTAAAGCATTCACGTTGCCATCAGTTTTACATTAAATGGTAATTTACATGAATTATGTGGTAATTAGCAATCATAAATAACAGCAGTAACTAGCTGTAGCGCTTCTTGTAAGAATGTTACATTTTTACTGGAATAAAAGCATAATGCAAAACGTCACTATCCCCGACTGTGGTTGTTTTAAGCCCATCAGGATTTTGTGTTTTGTTGTTTATGTTTATGTATTATTGTGTTAAAAGTGATTTATTATTTTATTCCTTGTTTTTATTCAGGTGTTCTTACTGGGCCCATTAGCTTCAGCTGCATTCACTTAGTTATCACCTCTTCCTGCTCACTGTTCATCGTGTGCATTTTGTTCCCAGAGTAGACATAAAAAAAGGCTTTTCAGATTTTTAAAACATTAATAAAATGCTTCATTTCATTCACTCTGTTTTCCTGTCTGTACATTGGGTCCTTTAGTCATCGTCTCACAACAAAGATGTGAGGTTTTAAAAAAATTAGGTCATTCAAAGACCTATCTACAACAAGTAAAATATTTATTAGTTATAACTTTTCAACAGAGCCCCACTTTAAAATATCTGAATTGTTCCTTTTAGTATCAAAGGCAAATATTTTGATTAATGGTAGTTCTTTAAGAACTTTATAGTTTAATTTAACATACTTTCTCGATATTGACTGAATGATAAAAGGGTCAAAGGCGTTTCAACTCTTGTTTATTTGCCTTGATGGGACAGCGAGCATGAACTTTGTTGACCCACAGGGGTGTCTCATGAGTCATTTAATTGCCGGATGGACTGATGCAACTACCAAGATAACAATACCACAAGAATTTACATCCACAAGAACCCCCCGACCTTCGGTTGGAGCTGAGAGAACTTCAGAATAATTTTTATGACAGAAGATGGTTAGTTTTCTGTCAAGTGAATTTATTGGACACAATTATACCGACAGCACACTTTAACAGAGGCTTCACAGTTGATGATGCAAGTCAGACTAAATCTCCCTGCATCCTCCATCTGAAGCTGCAAAATTGTCTCTCACTGATGTTTACTTGTGGTTCCTAGAATTTACAAAAACAGAATGGGAGGAAGATCCTTCAGTTATCAGGCTCCTCTCTTGTGGAACCAACTTCCAGTTTCTGTCCGTGAGGCTGACACATTATCCAGTTTTAAAACTAGGCTTAAGACTTTCCTTTTTGCTAAATCCTTTTAAAAGGGAGCTTTTCCTTTCCACTGTTGCCACTGTGCTTGCTCAGGATGGGAGACAGCAACGAAGCCAAGATTCAACTTGTCTGCTGGATTCCTTAGATAGAGAACTTTACTAATTGGCTTTTATGTATGTGAATATTCCTGTAAAGTGCCCTGAGACAACTTTGTTGTGATTTGGCGCTTTATAAATAAACTGAACTGAATTGAATTGATGTAGTTGTGGCCTGAAGATCGCGTCATTTAGTTCTGAGAGCAGCTTTGCCTGCTCCTTCTGAACACAAGACCCAGGCTGAACTTTATCTCACAGGAGTGTGTGTGTGTGATTGGCCAGAAGATTGTGGATGTGTTTGTCGATACGGAAATGTGCTTGGACATTCAGCTGTACGACTCCAAACAAACTAACGTATAATGCAGCGGAAGGAGTTTCCCAGCAGCTCTGCGTCTGTGTCTCGTGGACCGTGAAAAGCGTGTGCAAGAATGAACTTCCCGCAACTACGTGACTGTGAGTTGACTGTTCGGCTTCGAAGGAATATCATGGTCAAGGTTTCTTTATTGTCATTCA